TTAATAATCATGTATCAATCTTTTCAACCACACACAAAGAGTAATCAGTATCAGTGCTGCCCTCTTTAAGTGCACAGGGGAAAAAAAGAGGCTTCATTTGATGCATGACATCAGAATTCCCCATAGATTCAAGTCCCAAATAAATAATGAATCACATCATCTAACATATGAATTATAAATATTTCTACTTGTAAAACTCTAAGCTATTGCAGCTACAGCTAGAACACAAACAGCTAAAACCAGGAGCATAATAATACATTTGTTTCAATCAAGTTACTTCCTAGCTTTAGGATAAAGCAGGTGTGATTTTCAGCAAAATTCTTTACATGGAAAAGGAGAAGCATAATAGTTGAGACACCAGTGCTGAAATTTTGTAACTAAAGTGATTTTGCCCGTAAGAAAAATGGTGGAGGGGGATTTATAAAACCTTCTGCAATTTCAGTGTCAATAGTGGACATTCAAGGAAATATTGAGAAACTATGATGTCCACATCATAGATGAACTCACAGAGAGAATCTAACTCATACTCATACTATATAAGCACTATGGCTTAAGAACAAATTCTCTAAACGTTCAGTATTTTATACTCTTACAACAAAGAGTTGTATGGTATGGTGGAGAGAGATCTGACCTTGAAGTCAGAAAGACCCAGATCATAGTCCTGATTCTGACATATACTGACTGTGTATAACCCCATAGGTTAAGTCACTTAACTTTTCAGGACAACAGGAACTCTCTAAGTCTATACCTCACAGAACTATGGGGATCAGAGGTGTTGATCTATGAGTGAAACAATAGTAAACAATGGGAAAGTCCCACCTCTATGGAATCACAAATCTGTACCCTTCTTCTCCCTCATCCCCACAAAAAAAAAAACCTGATAAAAATAAAGAATCTTATCATAGACAAATAAGAAGACTCAGGCATTACAATGTGAGAATCCCAGGATTAGACAAAGAGGAAGGATGAGAGCCAGAATCCAAAGCACACAATGTTGCCACAAATGTGCAATCCAATAAATATTCAAAGGAAGAGGTTCCAAGAATGAAATGCTGATGGAGTTCATAACTGAAGAGGACAATATTACACAAACAACTGCCCAATGGAATACACCAAGTCCATTAACCAGAACAATCAGGGCATTTTAGTCTCTGCAGGTCCAGGCATGGAGTACAGCCAGTGAAAATGGCTGGAATCAGGAAAAAGGAGTTTCTGCAAGCTATAAAACCCTATAATTGTAAGGATGAAATCTCCACCCTGTTCTGCAAAGGAACTTTACAGGGAATAACATTTTCAGCGTGACAGCCAGAAGTGCTATTGAATAAAGTTTGATACGTTCTTTGCCCTTCAGTGGCATGAATTATAATGTTGATATTTAAAACAAATCCAAACCTCATTTCACACCAGCTCTTTTGTTTATCCTGTGTCAAATACTATGAGGAGAATAATTTAAGTAAAAAGAAGCATGATTCTCCCCATATACAGGGATATCTGTCTCACTTATGGAACATGATTGGATCTCTGTTTAGTTTTTCCTCTGAAATGCTGAATTATTCACGGATTTAATTATTTCCATAATACTAACTTATGTTTTATATAGTGCTTTTGATTCATAACTGCTCTGCATACTTCCAGCAGCCTGAATCTCCCTCGTAGCTCTCACTGTGATAGAGTGGCTAGAAATTCAACAAAGAAACATTTATTAAGCACCCATATTATTTCCTGTGTGACCCTGGTCAAATCACTTAAGCCTGTTTGCCTCAGTTATTTTCATCTGCAAAATTAGCCGGAGAAAGAAATACCAAACCACTCCAGTATCTTTGCCAAGAAAACCCTAAATGGGGACATCAAGAGTCAGACATGACTGAAAATGGTTAAACAACAATAAATAATGTGTAAGTCCGTATGGTCCTACATGGGTCCTGTGGGAGGATGGTTTTCTCATGAGAATTTAGTGAGGCAGGCAGTTCAAGAATTATGATCCCCATATTTTAAAGATGAGAAAACTGAAACTCTGAGATACTATGTGACTTACTCAGAGTAATATCGCTAGAAAATGTTTGTTATGAGTTGTGAAATCCCAAGTCTCATGACCCTAAGTTCACAGTATATCTCAACAATATGTGATTTAACAGTGGAGGTTGGCATTTGCATCAATTTTTCAGAAATAAATGCCCATTAACTTGACATGGAAAATTTTTCCTAAAAGGCTATTCACCTTGAATTTCAAATTTTCTTTCTAGATATACCTGTAGAGGGAATAAGCATTTATAGAACCTACCATACTCCAGGCACTATGTTTAAGCACTTCATAAATAGCATTTTATTTGATCCTCACAACCACCCTGCAATGTAGGTGATATTATTATCCCCATTTTATAATTGAGAAAACTGAGACAAACAGAAGTTAAGGGTAGCCACAATCCTATTAAGTGCCTGAGGCCAAATCTGAACTCAGTCTTCCTGACTCCAGGCCAACCACTCTATCCACTATACCACCCAGCTGCCTCATACACTAAGCAGAAAATTCTTACATGCATTTAACAGGTGAAGACAAATTATATGGTTTATGTATCATTTAGGTAGGGTAAGGAATGTTTAAGAAATTCAGCATAGTGAAGCATGTAGCAAGTTTCTTTACTGACTCATCTTTTACCATGTATTCCCTATTAGAAATTCCAACATGGAGTTCCTCCCTAAGAAAAAAATCCCCAGGGCCAGATGGATTCACCAGTGAATTCTATTAAACATTTAAAGAACAATTAATCCTAATACTATATAAACTATTTGGGAAAATAGGAAAAGAAGGAATCCTACCAAATTTTTTTTATGACACAAATATGGCGCTGATATCTAAGCCAGAAGAGTCAAAATAGAAAAAGAAAACTGCAGACCAACTTCCCTCATGAATACTGATGCAAAAATTTTAAATAAAATACCAGCAAGGAGATTATAGCAATATATAACCAGGATCACTATGACCAGGTGGGATTTATACTAGGAATACAGGACTGGTTCAATATTAGAAAAAACTGTCAGCATAATTGATTACATAAATCACAAAACCAACGAAAATCATGTAATTATCTTAATAGAGGCAGAAAAAAATACAGCACCCATTCCTGTTAGAAAACATGGAGTTCCAGAATGTTGACAGGCACATTTGCCTATTTACCATATATTTTGCAACAAATGGAAATTTTATAATTTCACAGAAATATTCAAATTGTAACACCAAGTTTGTCATTTTTTCAACATTATCACCTATATTGTATTTTTCTCTAAGGGACACTCATCTATCTACATCAAGTTAGACAGTGATTGTTTCTGCTCTTTGGCAGTAAAATAAATTACACAGGCAATTTCAAAGTTATGTCTCCAAGAAAGTTGCCTCCCACTACAATAGGGGAGACTGAGTGGGATAGCAAACAAAAAAGACAAAATATCATATTAGAGAATGAAGTGGATGGAAGAAAGTGATGAGGTAAATTGCTGGATACAGGGAGAGAGTAGGAATGTATTTGGGAAGACAGTAGCTTAGTAGGGGACCTCTAGTAAACAGATATTATTCAGTTCTAACCCCAGTAGTAATCTTTATCCCCTTATACTCTTCCCTGACCCCCCCCCCACCATATGAAAAAATGTTCTCATTAATCACCAAATGTAATGGCCCATTTTCAGTCTTCATCTTCCATGAATTCTTGGCATCCTTAACATTGCTGAACATCCTTCCCCCTTCTGTATCTTGAGGCACAGTACTCTCCTGTTTTTCCTCATTCCTCTCTAAACCACTTCTCCATCTCCTTTCGTGCCTCAGCAACAATCTCAACCCATTAAGATATGTGTTTCCTGAGGCCTTTATTTCTTTTTTTCATCTCTCTCTACCCTCCTTCCTTTGGCAATCTCTCCCATTACCACGTAAATCAAATTCTACACAGACAAAACTCTCACATCAGTCAATCAACAAGTAATATATTTATTTGGTGCCTGCTGTGTGCCACACACCATGTTAAGTAAGCACTGGAAATACAAAGGAAAAAGGGAAACTCTTCTTGCCCTCTACTAACTCACTTTGTAATATATACAAATTTTCTCTTTCATCAGAATTCAAGACCTTGGGAAACACATATTTTAATGTCTTGATATTAGACACACACATATGCATGTACACACATATATACATGTCATTCCACATATGTGGTATGTAACATCTATGTGGACAGATGTTATTTATAATTGTGAACCCCCATCTATCACACTGCTTCACACATGTGCTTAATAACTGTTTCCTAAATTTGTTGATTAAACACTGCCCTGGATCATACAGTTGGTTAGGCCAGAACTGGGATTAGAACCCATGTGACTAAATCATTTTGACTCTTACAACTACACAAATTAAAAATAAAGGACATATGAAGAAATTTGCTGTTTGCATCCATAGAAACAACTGATAAATAGAAGTACGTATAGAATAATTTTACATATCTACCCCTATTTGAGTCTAATGGTAGTCACCTTGGTGGTGGGGGGGGTGGGTTTAAGGGAAGAATAAAAGGAAAAAAATAAACTTACACGATAACTTTGTTGTATATTTAGGGGGAATAGCAAGCTGTACATGGTAGATCTGCAGTTTCATATGTAATCATCTTTTTTATTGTACTGTGTTTTAGAAATGCTTGTTCCGCAAATTTAAAATAAATAATTTTTTAAAAAAATTCTTTGTCCAATATTCTTTCCAGTACACAGTGAGAAGGGTGATGAAAGGCAAGGCCTTATCATGATCACTGCTTCCAACCTCTTTGCCTTACTTTTCTAAGGATTCTATTTACAGAAATATTGTAGCTGAGAGAATTACCGAAGGATTCAAATACTGCAAAACCACACTATGCCATGGAATGAAAAAGAGTAAATGGAGAACCTTACTGAATTGTAGGACATCCCACAATACCAACTAAATCCATTACAAGAAGATACGTGAAACAAACATAATGGAACCATACCATTGCTGGGTCTGGGAGAAAAGTCGGAGAACGTGGACATGTGAGGCTCCTGAGTCACTTTCACGTTTGATCTGCTCACATCACAAGGAGCATGCCTTTGATCAAAATCATCAATGTAGGCCTGAAGGGCCTCACTTGCTGAGCGGTACATCCTATCTCTGAACAGGACAGAGTCACTCGAGGTAAAGTCCTGACTATTTTTCTCACTGCAACTCAACAGAAGAGAAGGTCTTGTAGATTCGTGAGAGAAAACACTCAATGTTTTAACTGACTTTGCCATGGATTTCTCAGAATGGGGAATTACTTCCATTCATCTTTTTTATTTTTTTAAAAAACTGTAAACACACAAAAAAGGTATATAACATTTCAGTTAAAAGAGAAGGATGGTCTCTGCTCATATAAATCACTCTAATGTTTGTTAATATGCGCATAGGAGCATAGATTTAGATGCCTTTTCGTCCAACCCCTTCATTTTACAGATGGGGAAAATAAAAGCAACTAAGGGATTTCTCCAAGATCACACAGTTATTTGTGCCTACTAATACATGCTTTGCACATAACAGACATATAAAAATAGTTCTGATTGGTAGGCTGCTGATTTCACTGGCAAGGATAACCAGGGAATGAATATACTTTTTTTTTCACTTGTGAGACAATCAGAGTTAAATGACTTGCCCGGGATAACACAGCTAGTAAGTATCTGAGGCTTGATTTGAACTCAGGTCCTCCTTACTCCAGAGCCGGTGCTCTACCTACTGTGCCACCTAGCTGCCCTATGAATGTACTTTTGAAAGCAAGTATAGCATAGTGGTAAAAGTCCCAGACTTGGCCTTGGGAAACCTGGGTTTGAAAACTGCCTCTGACTGACCTTGGTGAGTCATTAAACATCTCTGAGCCTTAGCTTCTTCATCTGTAAAAAGGAGATGATAATACTTACACTATATGTCTTATGGGACTATTACAGGAAAAATCCTTTGTTAACCTTAAAATGCTGCAGATTATAGGAATTATACTTTTGTTAGAGAATCAAAAATATAAAGGTAGTTCAGAAAATGATAAATTATGAGCAGGAATAAAAAGCAAAGAAAGTAGGAACTTGGCAAGAGCAACTGTGTCCAAAAGGGTCTGAGCACAGAACAGAGATGGGGAAGGGAAAGGGAAAGGAAATAGCATTTATTAAGGACCTGCTACATGCTGGCACTGTGTTAAGTACTTCACAAATATCAGATTATTAGGTCCTCACAACAACTCTGTTTGGTAGAGTGTTACTATCCCTATTTTATAGTTGAGGAAACTGATGCAGATAGCAGGTAAGTGACTTGCCCAAGTTCATACAGTTAGTGTCTGAAGCTGGGTTTGAACTCAGATCTTCCCGACTCTAGGTCAATCTACTGTGCCATAACTATCTATCCCCCAAAATAAAACCAACAGGGTAGGATTCCTGCTCCTTTTTACCAGCAGACTAAAGGTCAAATTAATATGAATAACTTATAGTACTTTCCACACAACTCTGAGGTAGGGGTTGCAGAGTATTATCATCCCTATTTTACAAATCAGGAAACTGAGGCTCAGGGAAGTTATACAGTTGGTGTCAGGGGTCAGAACTCAAATATGATTTGAAATCTAGTGTTCTTTCCATTACGTCACACTGTAGCAAACAGCAGGAGATCCATGGAGCCCCTTGGAGGCAGAGATTCTCAGGACACAGGGCTGTGAACTTGAGGCTTGGCAACAGTCAGCTGGTATCCTATGGCACAGACACTTTGGTCTAGAAGGTGTCCTATCTGTTCATATGGCCAAGAATTCAGTGCCTAATATTATCGTTTCTATCATTGTGTGCTAAAAATACACCTATCCTCAATCCATAATCCGGTGGAGAACACTAATGGAAAACACCAAGGAGAGTACTCACTTTTTTTGATCCTACATCATATAAGTGGAGTCTGGGTTTTGTTCAGAATTGTGCAATTTATGACATCACAATGCATAAAATTCCTTTCTTCTACTATTGCTTTAACCTTTAAACCTTCCTCTACAGGAAGTGATGAAAGTGAGAAGACATGAGAGGAAAACAGATGAAAAGGCAATATATCAATATGAGTTCAAACCAGGGGAGACCCGACTCTTCATCAAATTAGGTAACTGGAGTTATGGTATGAAAACATTCTTTGAATATTCAATTCAATTCAACTCAAATCAATATATTGTTGTTCAGTTGTTTTTCAATTGTGTCTGACTCTTCATGATCCCATTTGGAGTTTTCTTGGCAAAGACACTGGAGGGGTTTGCCATTTCCTTCTCCAAATCATTTTACAGATGAGGAAACTTAGGCAAACAAGGTTAATGGACTTGCCCAGGGTCACACAGCTAGTAAGTGTCTGAGGCTGGATTTGAACTCAGGAAGATGAGTCTTCTTGACTCCAAGCCCAGCACTCTATCCACTGTGCCATTTGCTGCCCTAAGTTAATATATGTATTAAGTGCCTATTGTATGGAAAACACTGTATAAGGCAATGAGGCTACAAGGATTTAGAAGGCGGTCCTCACCATCTATCAGAGAGATTTGACATATACACCAGTAAGTAGGATTCCAGGTAGAATGTGATAAAGGAAGAAAAAAGATAGATCAATCATTCCATGAATAAGAATTTATCAATTTATATAAGAATTATTTTTATTACAATAATTATATAGTATATATTTATTATAATAATTATTAATTTATATAAGAATTTATTATCATAAGCTGCTACATGCTATGCTAAAAAAACTGGGGAAACAAATTTTGTTTTTATTTTGACATGGAAATGATTTTATTAAAAGATGTTGAAATGTGTGCATGCCAATTTAAGTACAAAGCACTTTTAACCTCAGCAATCATTTCACTGAAACAGTAGCAGATTTGGCAGTCTTACTCATAAGTACAATAATAGTTTACAAAGCTTTTCATTAATATTTCTTCTGTTTAATCCTCCTCTGCCTCCCATTGCATGGGTCACACTTGTTGGTTAAATCAGAAAAAAAAATTAAAAAATTAAAGAATCTCCACTCTCTGGTCTAGAAGCTTACATATTACTAGGGAGACAACAGGTACATATGTAAGTATATACATACAGAATAAATAGGCAGCTAGGTGACTCAATGGATAGGCCTGGAGTCAGGAAGACCTGGGTTCAAATTCAGCCTTAGATAAGTTACTAGCTGTAGCTGTGTGACCCTGGGCAAGTCACTTAACCTCCGTTTGCCTTAATCCACTGGAGAAGGAAATGGCAAACCACTCCAGCATTTTTGCCAAGGAAGCCTCATGGACAGTATTGGCAAGCTATAGTCTACAGGGTCACAAAGGGTTGGATACAACTGAACAACAATAGAATAAATGTAAAATTAATGTAAGGTAGCTATGACTCTCCTACTTACTCTCCTTGGTTACTGAATGCTGCTGAAGTCTCTCTGAATCTCTCTGTCTCCCCTCTGTATGTGTGTCTCTCTGCCTCTCTTCTCTCTCTCTCTCTCTCTCTCTCTCTCTCTCTCTCTCTCTCTCTCTCTCTCTCTCTCACACACACACACACACACACACACACACACACACACACACACACACACACAATTTGAACTACTTTCTTGTTGTGACAGATGGTGGAAGAATATTTTATGGCTTCAACAGATACTAACACAGACAGATCCAGGTAAATGAATGAAAAAGAAGCAAGATCACCTTCCTTTAGAGGGATAAAGGAGAAGATGACCCTTGAGCAGACCCTTGAAGAGAAGAATGTCATCACGTACAAGATGAAGACAGAGCACATGTCGAGTGAAGAGGGTGGCCAATACAGATGCAGATGAGAAGAAAAATTCAGAAGGAGCATCCGTAGTCTACTTTAGCTGGGACACAGAGCACAAGAAGGCAAGAGGAAACAAGGCTAGAAATTAAGTTGGAGCCAGATTGTTGAGGGCCTTGAGCACAGGCCTAATGAGAGTATGTTTCATCCTAAAGGCAACGGGGAGTCACCAACATTTCTGAACAGTGGGAATGAAATGGTCAGACCTCTGCACGAGGAAAGGTATCATGGCATGTACAAGGTACAGACGACAGAGAGACGGGAGACAGGGAAACCTGTTACGAGGCTTTTGCAATGGTCTGGGTGATAAGGTTCTAAATGAGAGTGGTGAAAAAAATCAATAGGAACTGGCAGCTTATTAGCTAAAGGAGCGAGGCCCCAGGAGGGAGAGGGAGGAAGTGGGACATGCAAGGCTGCTCCAAACCTCCATCACTGCCACCATCTTCTCGGCTCCCTCTTTCCCTCAGACCCCGATGGAGACAGCTCAGGTCCCTGAAGCCTAGAGCCTCTCTCAGACCACAGGTTCTGATTCTATTTCAGCCCCTGGAGCTGTCATCTGGGGTAACAATTCCTGTGGAAAAGAGGCCAGCCTTCCCTAAACACTGCTCACCCTACGAAGTAGGCACACCCATCTACCTGGAGCAGCAAGACTTCAGTCAGTGCCTCATTGTTACAGTATTCTCTCTTGTTAGAGATAATATTCTCTGTGTGTCTGCATCTCTCAGAGATAATATTCTCTGTATGTCTGCATTTCTCCCTTTCTCTGTGTCTATGTGTGTCTCTGTCTCTCCCTGTGTGTCTCTCTGTCTCTCTCTGTGTCTGTGTGCGTGTGTCTGTCTCTGTCCCTCTGTCTCTGTCTCTCTCTATCTGTCTCTCAGAGACAGGAGGAAGTATATGCCAGGCAAGTCAAACTCCCTTCCCATCTTCTCAGTGATGACCTTCCTTCAGACTCTAATGCAAACAACTTGGGACCCTGAAACTAAGCCTTAGGAGTAGCAGAGCCCTACAACCACCAGTCCTGCTTCCAGCCTGGGACCCACAGACATCACTGAGGGGGGCAATCATTGTGGAGAAGAGGCCCGCCTTTCTTGCCACACTAACACCTACTACTGATGAAATCATCAAATGAGATAATATTGTTGTGTTTAGCACAGTGCCTGGCACATGCTTCTCCCCGACTGATGAACTGTCACCAAAAGCAGATTAAGTTCAAGAGCCCGAGGAGTGGCACCTCACAGACCACAGTCCTACTTCCCACCTAGGTCCTGCAGCCACAACCAAGAAAAGCAATCCCTGTGGTGAGCTGACCCAACAATTAATTGCTTCTGCAGGGGCTAAAGCTCAGCAATCACAGATGCTGAAGACCCAGAAAAGAAAGTTTTCAACATCAAGTCTTCAGCACTATTGAAGAGTGCAACATCAGAAATGGATTGGATTTCATCAGTGGAAATTATATTAGAGAAAATGGATTCACATGTGCTTTGCAACAATACCCTGATGGACCATCTGACTGGAAGCTGAAACCTCCTCTCTGTGTGGTCCCCCCTCCATTAATTAGAAATGAGCTCCTTGACGTCGTCCTGTGAGAGAGAGAGAGAGAGAGAGAGAGAGAGAGAGAGAGAGAGAGAGAGAGAGAGAAACACACAGAGACAGAGACACAGAGGGACAGAGACAGATGCACGCACACAGACACAGAGAGAGACAGAGAGAGACACACAGGGAGAGACAGAGACACACAGACACAGAGAAAGGGAGAGATGCAGACATACAGAGAATATTATCTCTAAGAGACGCAGACACACAGAGAATATTATCTCTAGCAAGAGAGAATACTGTAACATTGGTAACCTCAATGTTTAGCACAGTAATCTGCATGTAGTAAGTGCTTAATAGGTACTTTTGCAGTCATTCATTCATTTATTCATTGGTACATGGTAAGGGAGAAAGACAAATAAGACTCAGATTTTTCTGGGAGGATAGTATTACCATCAATGATGAAAAATGGAGGAGAGACAAGGAAAATATTAGGTCCCATTTTGAACATGTCAGTAAATAAACATTTATTAAGTGCCTACTATGAGCCAAGTGCTGGAGATACAAAGGGAAGTTTAAAAATTAAAAAGCTTAGCCCCTGCCCTCAGGGATCTTACAGTCTAACGGCAGGGACAACATGTAAACAACTATGTACAACCTAGCTATAGACAGGATAAATTGGAAATAGAATTTGAGACGCTTGAAGGACTTCTGGGCAGAAGTTTCTAGTTTGAAGGAGCAAACTAGAGATGACATTTAATGGTTATTTGGTGACTGTATCACCCAATCAAAAACTTCCTTTCGATACTCAGTATTAACCAATTTTAAAAAAAGTTTTCCCGAGTCTACCTAGTCTAATTTTATCAACGATTCCTAAGAAGAAGAGTGGATGGTGAAACTATAAAATTCAAGACAAGGATTTCACCTTGTAAAAGCTGAAATGAGGCAGCTGAGGAAAAGAGGAAGAGGTCAGATGAGGCCTTATACAACTGTCAATGCATGTTGTTGATCGTTTTTTCATGTGTTTAATAGGTTGTAACCTTCCTGAAGGTAGAGATCATTTGTCTCCCAGCGCCTCTTGAAAGGCCCTGTACTTAGTGGATGCCTAATCAATATTTATTTAACAGAATCACAGTTTCACAGGTGGAAGGGCACCCAGAGGCCATCTAGTGAAACCAGTACATCCCTCTATAACATCTTCAACAAGGGGCCAATCCCACTTGTGCCTGAAGAGCTCTAGTGAGGGAAAACTTCCACTTTCCCAAAGGGGCCCCCACCACTCTTGGACAACTTTAGTGGTCTTAAAGCATGTCTTAGATTTAGGAAACACTGAGCTAACATCATTCCCTTCTGTACCTTCTTTCCATAATTCCCAATTATGCCCCCAGGTAACAAGCAGAACAAATTTAATCTCCTTTGTATGGGACAGCTTTTCAAAGGTGAACGCTATTCTCAGGACCCATCAGTCTTCTTTTCTCCAGGCTACATAGTCAAAATTCCTTCCACTGAATCATATGGCATGGTCTCCAGTCTCCTTCATTGACTTTCTTACACTCCTGGGGATTTGATT